CCCCCCGCCCTGCTTCAAACTTCCTGTCCACCTGTCAAGTAGCCATAATTATGTCGTGAGCCACTGGGCATGATCCTTAAGTCAGTATGACTTTTCTTAGTGTGTCTCCTAGCAACACGGCTGTTAGCCCAGGTGAGGCTCACAGCCCTTGGAGCCTCAGTGGCCCCAGCAGAGCCCTCCCTCCACCCCTTCCAAGACAGTTAACTGGTAAATGCAGCATGCCGACGCTATGGCTGAGTGTCCCCACGGTCCACTCTGGGGAGGCTGGTGGCAGGATCCACTCTTACCTGTGCTCCACGCGTCCTTCCCCCTGTCAGGTGACACAGGCCTCTGTGGCCCCGGCTGTGGCCTCAGGGAGGCTCTGCCAGCTAAAACGAGTCTCCTGATATCTCCCTCCCCCCGCCAGAGGAGGGAGGAAAGTTCCAGAAACAGAAGCATCTGAGCCACATGGGCAGCCACACTCACCCTGTTCTATGGAGGGCAGGGGTAGAGACCCATGATGGGGGGGGATGTATACCCCATGTCCTCCATCAGGGCCTCCTTGGCCGCTCCAGAGGACATGCTGCTAACAACTGATGAAACTCTTAGAAATTACCTTGTGGGCCTGTATGTGTGAGGTTAGAATCTGCTACTCACGTCCAGCAAGTGGAAAACCTCACACCTGGGCCACCCAGAGAACTGAGAGCTGGTACCATAATCTGAAGTATCTAGAGTATCTGTTCTGTGTGTGTGTGTGTGTGTGTGTGTGTGTGTGTGTGTGTGTGGTGTATGCACATGCCATGGAGCTTGAACCCAAGGCCAGCCACCCACTCTTGCTTGGCTTGTTCACTTAAAGCTAACACTCTACCATTTGAATCACAGCTCTAGGCTTTTTTGTGTTTTTTTTTGGGGGGGGTGCTTTTTGGTTTTTTTGCTGGTTAATTGGAAGAGAAGGGTCTCTCAGATTTGTCTTCCCAGGTCTGGCTTCGAATTGCAGTCCTCAGATCTCAGCCTTCTGAATAGCTAGGGTTTCAGGAATTCGCCCCCAGTGCCTAGTCTTATCTAGGCCATCTGACCTCTCTGCACCCCAGGGAAGAAACTTAATAACCAGGGAAGGCAAGGGGGAGGCAGTCACAGTTCTAGGGCAAGGGTGAGTGAAGGGAGGGAGAGCAGGATGCCTGGGAGGGGGGCTGGGTGTCAGGTCACATCAGGCTGTTAAGCCACATCCCCATCCCAGGTCCTGGGCTTTCCCAAGGGGTGGTGGGGAGGGCGGAGTCCTGCTGGGACAGGACTTTGTCAGTCAACATCTTTTCATAAACATCCCCCAAGTGTTGGGATCCAGGCCACTCCCACAGAGAGACAGATGTGCAGGGCAGGTGCAGGTAGGGTAGGGTAGAGTAGCGCAGGGCAAGTGGGGCAGGGCCCACACGTACCTCGCTCCAGCTCGCTCACTCGGTGCAGAAGCGCGTTCAGCGTGCTCTCTGTTCTCTGCCGGTGAGCAGATGTCTCGTTGTGCAGCAGCGACTTCTCGTCCTCCAGCTCGGCCACCTTGCGGAGCAGCTGGCGCTCCAGCTCCCCCAGCCGCCGCTGGAGCACCTCGCGCACGTCGCTGGGCAGGCCGGCGGTAGACACGTTGGTATGGAGCTGGTGCTGGTGGGGGGGGGGACACAGACACAGTGACCTCCGCCCCTCCTAATCTCTGAGCTCAGGTGACCCCACCGCATGAGAAACTTCCAGATCCAAAGGGGAACATTGGCATTGATGCTTTTTGAGGGGGGGGGGGGACGAGTAGGATTTCAAAGCCGGGCAAGAATGACTTGGCTGCACTAGTTGAAATTTGTGAATCTCTTTTTTTTTGCCCTATTTAAAAATAAAAAGCTCCGCTTTTCTCTTCTTACTAAAAAAGTCTCAATTTTAACCAACCTGTATGTAATTCTAGGTCAGATAAAGACCGAAACACGGAGGATTTTTTTTTTTCTTTACAGCGTGAGTCAATGGTACTCAAGGGTGGACAGCTTTTATCTAGCTGCGGAATGGCACAAAGATAACTCTGCTCGCAGAGAAATTACTGGAAAAGGGACAGCATAAAACAGGACAGTTTTTTTAGCCTTTTCCTCCTAATTATTTTCCCATTCCTCCCTGGCTCTTGACCCCCAGCGTTCCAAATAATAAACTGCAAAAAAAGGAGAGCCCTCCCTCTCCCCACTACCCCACCCCATTCACTACGGGAAGGCTTCAGATTCAGTGGTCCACCTGATTCACATCTGGTACTGGGGTGGGGAACAATGTTAGGTGTTAGTAACGGCGGCACAGAACTGGAAAATACTGTACTCACACCCAGCGAGCCCCAAGAAACCCTCGAATATATCAGCAGCGATCACCACTTTCTTGAAACATACTTCTGCATCTAGTTATTTTTTTGGAGGGGGGAGGCGGGCAACTGGACAGGAAATTCCGCGCCTCATCCACAGGGATGGAAAAGTTAAGATGAAAATGTCTGGAGGATTTTTCTCCGTCAGAGTTCCCAACAGCACACAGCTGGGGCGGGGGGAGGGAAGGACACAGGGGAGGGCTCCCCTTCCAAGACGCCGGGCCACGGTGCAGCTTAAAGAGGCATCGTTGAAATGAACGTGAGGTTAGCTTGGGTGCGAAATCTGGGGTCACCGGTGACCCCCTTTCTGCTCGGGCCCCCGACCCCACTGACAAAGGACCACCCAAGCCCAGCGGGAGTGGGCCTCTGGGCACGGCGCGCAGGGCTGGGCGCGGGCCACCGAACTCGGCTCGTGCACACTGGGGGAAGATTTTTTTTTTTTCCAGAAAATGAGTAAGAGGCTGCCAGATCACTGAGTGTTTCGCGTCCAACTTGGTTTCCTATCCTAAGGACTCGGGGCGGGGAGGTGGGGAGGGCCGCGGGGGGGGGGGGGGGGGATGGTGGGTGGAGAGCCAGGGCTTTTGGGAAGTTCACCACAATCTATCCAAAAGCGCAAAAGTAAAAGGTGAGATTTAACCCTTTCCAGCCGAGGAG